GTGTAAGCAAAGCAATAAATACTGGAAAGCTAATTATTAAATACTGGAAATATATTAATGTTAAACGAAGAAGTTGAAGGCTAACTGCAATCTTTCAACGGATTTAACTAAGTTTTCATTATATTTCTTGATCATTCCAATCATCATTCGTTCCAAAAGCGATTGCGGTAGATTTTAAAGGGACTGCGATAGATTTTAAAATTAGACAATTGGCCCACGAGAGCCTTATACAACGTAAGAGCATTAACGGAACCCTTTTAACTTGACGTTTGTTTATCTAGTCACGTCCCGGAGGAAAGTAAATAAAAACAAATTTATGTTCGGTTCTCGTTAAATATTTCAACCCCCCGTTAATTAATAAGCTTCAGTCTTTGTTTGTATCGAATTTTAAAATGGAATTGTATTGAACTTATAACTGCTAATTATTTATTTACGATAGTGGTAATTAAAATTTTCTCTTTAAATTAAGTCTCTTTAATTTAAAGTGGAATTTTATATTATTGGAAAAATATCTTATTATAATTTACTAGATATATTAAAATATTGCTTCTCTAAGTCATAACTGAAAGATAATATAGAGTATAATTAAGTTTCATTAGAAGCAATCCTATACTTGATATGAAATTACATTTGTGTTTCAGATGGATTTATCCAATTTACTTAGAGATCATGAGAAAGGGTACAGATGTTTCTTTGATGTGGTGTAAAATAACTTGACGTAATTTACATTTGCTATAACACAAATAGTAACTCGACTGACACGATTCTATTAGATTTGATGAATCCATACATAAACATTTCAGAGTCTTCTTAATATCTAATTAGTGTTGGCAATAGTATTTAGTGTATTGATTAATTAGTTTATATAATACACTAACTTTCCACCTGCGCGGTTTTTTCGGTTTTTCCAGTATTTGTCATTGTTACTCCACTCCTATTAGTCATAACATCATATTATACTAATCATCATCATCACCAGCCCTTTTACGTCCCCACTGCAGGGGCTCAGGCCTTCCTTATGGATGGTTAAGGAGGATGGGCCATGACCCTCCACACTGGCCCAATGCGGATTGGAGGATATTAACGACTGCAAATGCAGCCGGGACCAACGGCTTAACGTGCCTTCCGAAGCACGGAGTAGCTCGAGATAATAATTTTTGGTCACCCATCCCGTGACCGACCCTTGCGAAAGTTGCTTAACGGTTACGATCGCGATTTAATAAATGGACTATTCAACACAAAAATAATTTTGAGATTAGCACATTCGACCAATTGGACAAAGCTTTATAATATTACTATAGATCTGTGGTATTTTATACTAATATACCTTTTGACCTATACAATATTAAAGTATGATGAAGCGTTCCGTAGGTGAAAGAATATTTAACATCAGTTTCGGAGCTTATTAGATGCAAATAAAGAAAAAAGAATCTTATCTTTCCTCTTTATTATTACTATAGATTAGAAGTAGAAATTAATATAGATAAGTCAAATTCATAGAGGCTCGACATTTAAGTATATTCAGAATGTTACTGCGATCTTGTAGAGTCGTCCTATAAATCACAATATCTTCGGTTGCCGTATCCTAAATCGTAACAAGATAAACTGGGCCGTTGCGAAAATCCACATAAAACCGCAAAACATTCGAAAATGATTTATAGTAGGCTCGATCTGCTTTGGGAGGCTTCACGGGAACAAAAACAGATTATCGGGATCCCTGTTATTCCCAGCAATCGGTTTAGTGCACGGAGCCACGAATACTATTAATGTAAAGTATTGGTCTGGGTCGTGGAATGTAATATAGTTTTGAGGTCGCAATTATTTGTAAGCAAATAATAAATTCTGCTTACAACTAACGATGCTGCTATATTTAGAGGCATGGAAGTGACCCCGCCAAGTCGAGTAAAGAGCAAAAAGGTAGATGTATTATCAGTAACCTTTCACAGGACCTCCCTGTGGTTGGAATCTAATCATATCATGCGAATGATGACTGAACGCCATCACCCACAACGTGGTAGATAACAGTGCAGACGGGTGGGTTATTTAACAACTGCAGATGAAGCCGGGACTAATCGCTCAACGTGCCTTCCGGAGAGTGGAGAAACTGGAGATAATATTTTTTTAGTTATCCGTGTGGCGTCTTATATTATATATTTATATTTTATCTATATTTACTTATTAAAAATCAATTAATTTATTTACATTTGCAAAATACCATAATAAACTTACACTAAAACTTATAAACTAGCTTATTCTAAACAAACCTTAAAAATTACTTCTTTATACTTACATTATTAATCAAAAGAAAATTATTTACGATATATACATTACTACCTTAAAATAATACAAAATATTATCAGACCTAAGCTATAAAACTCATAGCATTAATCACGCGCAAGTATAGTTTACGCGTTGTATTAGCTACTTAATGCCATCCTATTGTTCGCTTGTATTTGAAACTATAGCAACGCCTGTAAAACGAGTAATTGACACGACTTTCCGATCGCCAGTGTGAGATTAACCACGACGTAAACCTATGTATTTGTCTGCGCGTGCGCCGATTGTTATTTATAACTATAGTTTTTTATTTCACACCTTCTGAAATTGGAATACTGGGTGGAATTATTACAGCACAGACATCTACACCCGTTCTAAGCCCGGTCCTTGCTTCCGCATTGCGAACTAACGCGCTTACTAATATGCCATGGAGAATCTCAGACGGTTGAATTATGTAAATAAAAGGATTTGAAAAATGGCGATCTAGATGGGGAGAAAAAATGAAAGAGTTTTCAAATGTAAAGTTCTATTGTGAGGATCATAAATAAATGTGGGAAACGGAACGGTAGGTTAATATGAAAGAGATAATAAGTTGAGTGTATGCGTGAGGAGTGAAAGAGATAGAAAATAATTTAAAATAAAGTATGGAAGGAGAACGAGCGAGGACAACGATTTGAACGACGATACGGTGTGCATGTGCTTAAGAAGAAAAAGAAGTTAAATAAACGATTATTTGCTGTAATCCACCTGTTTTATTCCGTCTATTCAAAATTCGCCTTCCTTCTTATCTCTCGCTCACTATATTCTCTTTCTTTTTTTCATATACATCAAACATATCACTCAATCGTTCAAAATATTAATTCCCATTTACTGTAAATTAGCCAACAGCATAACTGTAATTTCAGCTTCGAACTGAAAGATTAATAAAATCGCTCCGTTTTTTTTTCATAGCTGCATGTTCCATGCCACATCTGAGCACAGTTGTATCATAAAAGAATCGACTCTAATAAAAAACGGCGGCGCCGATTCTGTCGGGTCTGAAAAAATATGTATAACGATCTATTTAGCTTCGATTTTATCGTTTCTTTTTATTGCTTTATATCCAACTGTAAATGTGATAAAGCAAGGATTAAATGAAAAGTTTATTGAAGGAAACAGGTTTTTGTTTTTGCTTAATAACAAAATTCTGGTATGTTTGTATGTAATTGTATATATTAGAATATAGACTCAAATCTTCAATACCTTAACATTGCGAAAGGTTATGCTTCGAGTCCCATCTCGAATACCTGGGACTAGTGAATTTTTCTTTGTGATAAATAGCTATTTAGCAAGATGAGTGCAAAATATATATAATATAACTGAAGGGTTACTTCTAAAATATATTTAGAAGTCAAGTGTTCTCCTGTGACAGTATGAGCTCACAATAAAATGTATATTTATTACCTTCATTACCTTTTTCGTAGTTTTTATTTGATTGGACCTCTATGTTGTGACAGCGTGGTATTAGACGTCGACTTCAACTTTGATTTTATGAAATAACAGCACAGCTGATTATATTTTATCCATTTAACAGTAGCGGGTAAAGTCACGGGGCAGAGCTTGTACATCTCATGCGAGCCTTGTCTATAAAATAAATCAGTCGTTACTGAGTTATTTGATTTTATTTATGTATTTTTTTGTTTTTTAGATATCGTAATAAAGTTATTCAAATTATAACATAATGTTTTATTTATATAGTTAGAATGCTGTATTTGATGTTTATCCATTTTATTTAATGGAATATATTCCTTTATGTATACTTTATTATCCTTTATTATTTATATTTACAATTAATATTCCTTTATTATGCGAAATTGTAAATATAAATTGAATCGATTGCTATTCTCAAAGGAAGATTGTTTAAGTAACTTTTACAAACGCAGTTTCTGAGACAGCTACCTTGAAAAAGAGAGAAATGTACCTGAATTTAACTGTTTTAAAATGGAGATAATAAAATAAAAAATTGAACGCCAACTTAGTTGATAATAGAAACGTTTTATTTAGTAAAGTTTTCCGATATTAATTTCAAAGTTCAAGGGCTCTATCCAACTATGAAATTCTCACGAGTCCTTTGATGTGTAAACATGCAAAACAAAGTAAAAAATATTTATATTCCATGTTTGAAATTGTTATTTTTAGATTATATGAGAGTCAGGTAGCCGATATACATATGAACCTTTATTACAGCTGAATTGGTTTAGCACTTTTAAACAAAATTGGCAGCATTGATGAATGTATACTACAAACATTTTTTTTTTATTTATATCTTAAACTATCTGTTTTTACTGATAGTAGCGCGTAACAAAAACATGCATTTCATTAATATGACGTTAAAATAATAAACAATAAACAAAAATTCATCAAAATAGCAATATTCATTAAATTCAATCTTTTTTGTTAATTATCGATAAGGTGTCGAATAAAAAGAATATTTCATATTAATATTCTGCGCCTTGAGTAAACTTTTTTCGAGAAATTACGAGTAATAATTTAAATTGGTTTAAAAGTTGTCTGCAGCCAATATCAAAGCAAGACGTAAGTCATCCCAGTGTAATTTGAGTGGCATAATTAGTATGACCGAAATGAGCCAGTCTGGAGCCGGACTTACATAACTTTCCGCCGCTCACTCGGGCTTTCCCGTCGATCACCGAGCGATGCCGAACATCACCGAACAGATTTTATTCACAGTCGGCTACGTGCTGTAGCGGCAGTCGCTACATTGTTCCCGTAGCACGTCTACGTTCGCGCTACGACTGACTGACGTGCTAACTGTTGTAGCAAAACTCGAATATTAATGGACTTGAATATAATAATTTTAATTATGAGTTGGTGATTTGAATGGAGCCGATTATTTTCTCTTTGGATTCACATTTTAACAGGTAAGATATACAATTATTTTATAAAATATATTATTGCTATTTGTATTTACTGGAAAACACGTCGACGTCATTACAGTATAAAAACAATCTTACAAATTATAAACGGATATTATTAGTAAATAATAACATTCAATTTATCAAATTATAATCCAGACTATATTATAAAAAAAATACTCCCATAATATAGGTCTAGTCCTTCTTAAGACTTGGAATCTTTAAATTGCAATAAATGTGTATTTGTTGAAAGCTTTTTTTCATAACACATGAAAAGATTTTAAAGTTCTGCTATATTTAACATTAAAGTTAGTAGTTTAGACTAATATTATAATGAAAAACATAATTAGAAATGGTTTCTCTGTTACGCTGTATTTAAACAAAGTAAACATGAGGTTCATTCATTAAGAAGTGGTAAAATCAAGGCTTTATATGAATTTAATGTCAAAGCCTTAACTTGTTTACTTAAACTTAGTTTTCAGGCAACAATGATAAAAATAATAATAAAATATTGATTTTCTTAACACAACACAGTATAAAACAAACAAGACAGTTAATACTCGTAGTTAAGTCCATACATTAGCAATTGTATGCAAATATTAGACTTATTTCGATTAGTGTTATTTTTGGGGATTTTTTTTATTAACTAAGATAACGGAAGTACACTTATTATATTTACTATACCCAAGAGTATAATTTATTATTATCATTAGTTTATGTTAGATTTAACTCCATCGCAAAGTTGTCCGAAACAGATTACGTTCAGTGATAAGGCAAAATGTACGTTCAACATTGTAATATTAAGTTTTATGTATGAATGATAAAGAATAGTCTATTCTATATCTCTTTGATTACGGAATAAGGTTTGAATAAACCTTAATAAAACTAGATATTTTCAGTTTAGAGAGTTTGATATTATTTTCTAGAAATATCGGTGTATCATGCGATGTAACAGTCATGTTTAAGTGTTGAAATGTTAAGCTAAAATGATTTTTATGACTTTACAGACAGTGGCTATATTAGATTGATTAATTTCGATATCTAAACTAATATTATAAAGTGGAAAGATTTAATTGTTTGCATAGAATATGCTCCGAAACTAATGGATTGATTTAAAATATTCTTTCATCAACGGGAAGCCTCATCATATGCGCAGACATAGAAGTTTCTGGAACACAGCTACTTTGAAATAAAAAAAGTAATAAATTAGCTTTAGGTTTTAGATAATCATCATGTGTGTTGAGTTAGCAATTGCTTATTAAATGGTTTGACAATTCTTTGCCAAATTAAGGATTTATAAATACGACAGTAAATCCGTGTGTATGGTATGCTGTTAAAGCAAAACGATAAGAATATAAGAAGTCTTCTCAGCCGCTTCACCTAAATGTTTGATTTTTTACAAGATTTTCTTTTATTTATTTAAAGGCTTGGATATGACGATTAGTCAAGTACCTTGCACGTCTATTTCATGACGTCGTCATCTATGGGGTCGCGAGTTCGATTACCGATCGGAACAAAATGAAATTTTTTAATATTGTCTCGGGTTTGACAACACTCAGAGATGTTATAAGAACCACCATTGTTTCGAATTCTACTTAATTTGGGATCCTAGTAATGTATATTATATCGAGTTTTTTTTATGTAATACCTATAAAAGAGCAATTCATGTGAATATATAGGATATTTAGTGAATAGATCGACACATTTTTTTGAGATATTTGGAGGGTCATTAGCTACGCTTGAAATATACACATATTCCAAGTGTTACAGTTACTTTTTTTTGTTGTTTATATGAAATTACACAAAATAATACATTTGAATTGTACTAAAATAAAGCAGACAATGAAAAGCACAACTTTGTCTTTATGCGCAGCCTTTATTCCTAATTGATAACATTCCATTATTTATTTAGGACAGAAGACCTGATTTTGGTTAATGGGGGCATTAATTTTTGGCCGTTAGTTTGATATTCTAACTAACGCATAGGCAAATATATAATTTTACGGTTTTTAACAGGTTACATTATGGAAATACTAGTAACATTCACAGTTGTGATGTGTCAAAGTTCACTTTTATCGTATCTTTTTAAAATGACCAAAAATAGGTTTTAATCTTAAAATGGCTAAAACCGAGTCATCTGCCTTAACACAGTAATATTATTTGTTATCATATTGTCAGATAGAATCTTCATAATACGACAACTGTAAAGGTCTCCTCACCTCAATTATTTCCATCTTTCTGTGCAAACAAGTATCCATTGTTTACTTATTCATACTCACCCCTGGGGTACATTCTAACAGCGCGTCACGAGTACTTGTGTTAATTAATTAGTCCTTTTGATGACGCCGTCGGCACTCGCGGGATCTTCAACAAACAATGGATTCCTTTTTTCGCGTCCTCGTTTTCTGTAAATTTCCAGATGCACGATGTCGCGGGGGAATCGAGGTTATTACGTTTCGAGTGTCTCTTTTCTCTTTTTACTTCTTTTGAATAAAAAAAAGTGTATTTGCTATGGTTATTTGAATGAGAATCAGATTTTTCGTTCCGTTTATTATAGTTTTCTGAGTATTTACTTATTTACTAGCTGTTGTCCGCGACTTCGACCACGTGGTAATTTGCGACTCCTAGCACTTTCAGTTCCGTAGTTTCAACAAACTATTAACCACAAAAACAATAACTTAGGGCTTCAATTTTTTAAATCCCGTCTAACATCTAAGTTCTAAAATGACATCCATGCAAAGTTTGGACAAGTAGGTACTTTAAACTTGTTTTTGAGATTTCGTGATGAGTGAGTGACCTTGCTTTTAGAAATATGATATGGATGACTGACAACTGATTTTTTTAACTAAATACAGACAGCTAATTAAGAGTCATATCTTTAATTTTTAATATGGAGAGAACGGGCCATAACCTGTCACCCCTTCCCAATGCGGATTGGTGGGTATCAACAATAAAAGATGCAACCAGGATCATCGGCTTAATGTCCCTTCCACAGCATGGAGTAGTTCGAGACAATAAAATTTGGTCACCCATCCTATGACAGGACCTCGCGAAAGTTGCTTAACTTACGTATCAGAAATCGAACGCGCTAACTTATGCGCCATCCATTCCTAATTATTACTCAAATTTCTTTCATTTCTATTTTCCAGAGCTCTAAAAAAACGCACTTCTGCTTCACACGACTCTTTATAAAAACAATGACCTCCTACATTAAGACTCTATTTACTATTGGAAATTAACTGCCTATTGTATGCTTTAAGATTTTTGTATTTTGTAAGCTTTGCATGCTACTTATTATACATATTTCGTTGGTTAATTGTAAAATATTGAAATCAATTATATTATATTGTTTTTATAAAATAAATGTCATGTGTAGTTTGTAAACAATGAAGTAACGTAATAAATTAATGATATTCTCGCTGTTTGTAAAAGTACACAATAATGTACTTTATAGAATGTACTGAACTAACTTTTAGTAATGAAAGTGGCTGTCGGAACTAAGTCTTGTTAGCTTTCCCGGCAGAGTACTTATAAAATATTATCAAAGGAAATTATAAATTTCTGTATAAACTTCGGTACGTCTTAAAACTTATGCTCTCGTCTTAAAACAGTTGTTTTTATAAATACCTAATGGTTCGTTTACGTTGGTCGATAAACCAATGACGACAAATAAAAATAAGGCACAGAAATCGTCAGCACAATATAAATGAGTCATAATATAAAGCAGTGATTGGTTCTTTTTTGGATGGCTACTCAACACATAAATATAAATTCGAAGTTTAAGATTCTGACTCAAGTATTTATGGATAAAAGACGGACTGTAACTATAGGCGCTGTATTTGATATAAGCAACTCGCGATGCCGCGGTCGCCCTATCCAGTCCTACGTGCGCATTAGATAAATAACACAATGCACCCTTTCTGAAAAAGTTCATTATTATTATGTATGATCAATTTGCATTCACAATGCTATACTGGAAAATATTTTTGATGAAAAATGCTTAAGAATCCACTTTGTCCCTGGTACCTTAGGATGGGATTCGAACCCACGACCATTCGCAACCCTGCTTTAATCAATGAGCTACTCAGGACCTTTTTTGTAGGTCATTATTGTCGAAGAGTCTAACTTACGCAGAAGCCGGACCTTCGCAGGTTCATCTCATTGGTAAATGAAATGATGAAAAAGCAATATATTATAAACGAGCCACAGAAATCGCTTGGAACCCGTACGCTTCGACCAGCGTAACTGAGCCGTCAAATCTAGTGGTACGTGGCTATGATGATGACGAAGTAAAAGTAGTTTGTTTTCTAAGCTAAAAATTTGATAGAGCATGACAAACTCGAAAACGTTTTGTTTACACCCACATGTCACTTTTCTCGTGTGCGCCTATACGATGCCTCGCTCTACCCGAGGAAAGTGACGTTTAGTGTAAACAAAGTGTTTCTCGAATTCGTCATGTCACGCATGCTGGCTGTTTTAAAGAGCGAACATTATAAACACTAGGAAGAAATTAATAATTGTATAAAATACTATATTTGAAATTGATAAATACTAGTGGGATTATCGTTTATGTGATATCTTATTAATATTGTCTAAAGATTCTTATATGAGATTCGAGGATATTTCTTATATCTCAAATAAACCTGAAATATTTTTCGTAATGTACTTGTCATCAGCATAACGTGTTGAGACGGCGTGTGTCACCAAAAGTTATGACGAATTTGATTAACTTCTGCGTTCACAGACATCAATTATACGACGAGAAAAATATGAACGCTTAGGCACTCATTCCATAAAATATCTCAAATTAACGTAATTATAGTTGTAGTGTTTATAATATATATGATATGACTTCTGAATAATCAAGTACATGAATATTTGACCTAAAATTATTTGACGGTCTTCGTGATCTAACGGTTTGCACACCAGATTCAAGACGTCACCATCTCCGAATTCGATTCCCGGTCTAATAATTCTAAAAACTTAACTGATCTAAGTATGTACAC